AATGTCTGGGACCAGAACAGTTTTGTATCTGAGATTTTGAATATACCTACATAAGGTCCAGATCTAACACAATCATTTATGCATATGTACACAGTCCCTGAGTTACAAACACCCAACTTACAAATGACTTCTAGTTAAGAACAGGGGTGAGACAACAGGAAGTGAGAGGAATCTACCCTAAAAAGAGAAATCCACTCCTGGGGAAAGGGTCTCTACTGAAGCCTTATCTCCAATCCTTGTTTCTAAAACAAGCCAACTTTTTTCAAAATCCAATTATCACTGGGACGAAAGTGAGGTGAAATCTTCTGAACAAAGGCACAGACAACAAAGGAAGCAAAACAGGGGTGTTCAATTTTCCCTATGCCATCCAAAGCTTAGAGAGAGAGATGGAGTTACACTTACAAAATGTCCCTGTTCCAACTAACATACAAATTCAGCTTAAGAGCAAACCTACAGAACCTCTCTTGTTTGTAACTTGGGGATGGCCTGCACCTACATCTGAATAGACCAAATCTAATGACATGACCATTTATGTTTCACATACATCCTATATACCTGGAGGTAAAGTGACACACAATATCTTTATTAATTTGTGCATGAAGTCAGGTTTGTGTATATGAGCCAACAGGGAGCCGAGGCGCCACTCTCTCAGCCACTCGGGAGGGTGTGGGTGGGTTGGATCTTGGGATATTTCAGATTCCTGGATAAGGGATGCCCAACCTGTATTCCGACTGAGATTATTTCATTCCATGCTCTGTGCTTTAATCTCTGTTCTATGTATTTTATAGAAATACGTTTCAATATGTATCTTTTATAAAATTACATTCTAATATATTCGTTTAAAAAACAAAGTACAGTACAGTCAAGTGCTCAATTTCTTCCTAATCTTCAGTTTGGATAGTAAAATCTCTTGTATGTTTATGTGTTTGAACTATGCTGTAACCCGTCTCAATCCATGAGGAGTGGAAGGAAAGAAATAAAATTATTGTTATTATTAGGAAGCTACTTGCCATGTTGATTGGTGGGGGAAATACTAATACTAATAATAATAATTATTATTATTATTATAGTATAAAGTGTTGTTGTTATATTATTTTTATTTGAAACACCACACGATGAGTCCACAGCAGACACTCTGCTGGCTGTTGTATTGGATCACACGTCGGACACTTCCCAAGTGTCTAGGACTGTGTGATGTATCGGAGAATAATGTGTGCAGATCCCAGTAAGGGGGCCTTTTGGAGCTGGCAGAAGGTAATCTTGTCAGCACTGATTGTGTTTAAGTGCACGCCAAGGTCTTTAGGCACTGCACTCAGTGTGCTGATCACCACTGGGACCACCTTTACTGCTTTGTGCCAGAGTCCTTGCAGTTCATATGATGATGATGGTTATAGCATATAAAAATATTATTATGTGTTGTCGAAGGCATTCATGGTCGGAATCACTGGGTTGCTGTGAGTTTTCCGGGCTGTCTGGCCATGTTCCAGAAGCATTCCTTCCTGACGTATCACCCACACCTATGGCAGGCATCCTCAGAGGTTGTGAGGCCTCTTGGAAATTAGGAAAATGGGGTTTATATATCTGTGGAATATCCAGGGTGGGAGAAAGAACTCTTGTCTGTTGGAGGCAAGTGTGAATGTTGCAGCTGGCCACCTTGATTAGCACTGAATAGCCTTGCAGCTTCAAACCCTGACTGCTTCCTGCCTGGGGGAATCCTCTGTTGGGAGATGTTGGGTGGCCCTGATTGTTTGCAATTCCCCTGTTTTCTGAGTGTTGTTCTTCATTTAATGTCTTGATTTTGGAGTTTTTTTAAATACTGGTACCCAGATTTTGTTCATTTTAATACTTTCCTCCTTTCTGTTGAAACTATCCACATGCTTGTGGATTTCAATGGCTTCTCTATTAGTATAATAATATATTATTGTACAAAAGAAGAAGAAAGCTCCTTACCATGCTGTTTGGTGGGGGAAATTACTATAATAATAATTATTATTATTGTTATAGTATATATTGTTATTATTATATATAATTGCATATAAAATATTATTATTACTATATGTTATATAAAAATATTATTATTTATTATAGTATATAAAATTATATATTATAGTATATGGAACTATTATTATATATTATAGTATGTAAAATCATCATTATTATACTATATAAAACTATCATAATACATTAAAATTATTATCACTCTATATTATAGTGTGTATATAATTATATATTATATAAAATTATTATTATAGCATATAAAATTATTGTTGTATATTATAGTACATACAACTATTATTATATATTATGGTATATAAAATTATTATTATAGTATATATGATATTATATATCATGTAATAATCATATATTATAGAAAATTATTATTATTACAGTATATAAACTTATTATTGTATATGATAGTAGAAAAACTATTATTATATATTATGGTATATAAAATCATTATTATTATAGTTAATGTGATATTATATATCATATAATAATCATATATTATATAAAATTATTATAGTATATAAAATTATTGTATATTATAGTACACAAACAATCATTATATATTCTAGTATATAAAATTATTATTACAGTATATAAAATTATATAATCATATATTATATAAAATTATTATTATAGTATGTCAAAATATTATTGTATAGTATAATACACAAATTATTATTATGTATTATAGTATATAAAATCATTATTATTATAGTAAATATGATATAATATAACATATAATAATCATATATTACGTAAAATAATTATAGTATATGAAATTATTATTGTATTTTATAGTACAAAAACTATTATTATATATTATAGTATATAAAATCATCATTATTATAGTATAAATGATATTATATACCATATAATAATCATATATTATAGAAAATTATTATAGTATATCAAATTATTAATGTATATTATGGTACATAAAACTATTATTATATGTTATAGTATATAAAATCATTATTATTATAGTGTATTTGATATTATATATTCTATACTGTAGTACAAAACTATTATTATTATTATAGTATATGAAATTATTATTGTATATTATGGCACATAAAACTATTATTGTAAGTTTTAGTATATAAAATCATTATTACTATAGTATATATGATATTATATATCATATAATAAACATATATTATATAAAATTATTATAGTATATGAAATTATTATTGTATTTTATAGTACAAAAACTATTATTATATATTATAGTATATAAAATCATCATTATTATAGTGTATTTGATATTATATATCATATAATAATCAAATATTATGTAAAATTATTATTATGGTATATAAAATTATTATTGTATATTATAGTACAAAAACTATTATTATATGTTATAATATATAAAATCATTATTACTATAGTATATATGATATTATATGTCATATAATAATCATATAAAATTATTATTATAGTATATCAAATTATTATTGCATATTATGGCACATAAAACTATTATTATATGTTATAGTATATAAAATTATTATTATAGTATATGAAATTATTATTGTATATTATGGTACATAAAACTATTATTATATGTTATAATATATAAAATCATGATTATTATACTCAGTTCTTGTGGGGTTTTTTGGGCTATATGGCCATGTTCTAGAGGCATTTCTCCTGACGTTTCGCCTGCATCTATGGCAAGCATCCTCAGAGGTGAGGTCTATGATTATTATAGTATATCAAATTATTATTATGGTATATGAAATTATTATTATATATTATAGTATATCAAACTTATTATTATTATAGTATACAAAATTATTATTGTATATTATAGTACAAAAACTATTATTATATGTTATAATATATAAAATCATTATTACTATAGTATATATGATATTATATATCATATAATAATCATATTATATAAAATTATTATTATAGTATATCAAATTATTATTGTATATTATAGTATATAAAACTATTATATGTTATAGTATATAAAATCATTATTATTATAGTGTATTTGATATTATCTATTGTATACTGTAGTACAAAACTATAATTATATATTATAGTATATGAAATTATTATTATAGTAAATGGAATTATTATTGTATATTATAGTACACAAACTGTTATTATATATTATAGTATATAAAATCATTATTATTATAGTATATAATATTATTATTGTATATTATAGCACACAAACTGTTATTATATATTATAGTATATAAAATCATTATTATTATAGTATATAATATTATTATTGTATATTATAGCACACAAACTGTTATTATATATTATAGTATATAAAATCATTATTATTATAGTATATAATATTATTATTGTATATTATAGCACACAAACTGTTATTATATATTATAGTATATAAAATCATTATTATTATAGTATATAATATTATTATTGTATATTATAGCACACAAACTGTTATTATATATTATAGTATATAAAATCATTATTATTATAGTATATAATATTATTATTGTATATTATAGCACACAAACTGTTATTATATATTATAGTATATAAAATCATTATTATTATAGTATATAATATTATTATTGTATATTATAGCACACAAACTGTTATTATATATTATAGTATATAAAATTATTATTATAGTATATAAAATCATTATTATTATAGTATATAAAATCATTATTATTATAGTATATAATATTATTATTGTATATTATAGCACACAAACTGTTATTATATATTATAGTATATAAAATTATTATTATAGTATATGAAATTATTATTGTATATTATAGTACACCAAGCTATTATTATTATATATAAATTCCTATGCTGATGATGACTGTGGAGGCCCCCTCAGCCTGGGTTGACATGGGGCCTTCCCCTTCCCCACAGACACGCGTCCCCGCATTCCCACAGGCAGGCAGGCCCCTTGACACGCGTCTTCCCCCCAGCCCCGCGCCCCTTCCTTTCCAGGTGGGCCTGCCTCCTCCTCCTCCGCGCCTCACCTGCGCCGTCACCATGGAGCCTGTCTCTCCCTCTCTCTGCGGGCCGCCTCGGCTCCTCCTCGGGAAGCGGGTCCGTCCTGAGGGGAGGGAGGGAGGCCGGCCTAACCGCCGCCGCTCACTTCCTTGGCAACGCCGCCGCCCTCCTTCCCTCCTGACGTCACTTCCTCAGCGACCGGCCTTGTCCTAGCAACGGGCCTGCGCTTAGCAACCGCTGGCCACGCCCCTTTTCTTGCCAGGATGGATGGAGAGGGAAAGCTCACTCACATCCGGGGAATTTGGGATGGAGAAGACCTTTAAATACACTCTGTATCTGTCACACAGACAAGACAGAGGTCCTCCTGGTCAGTCGTAAGGCCGAACAGAGGTTTACAGCCTGTGCTGGATTGGGTTGCACTCCTCCTTAAGATGCAGGTTCGCAGCTTGGGAGTGATCCTGGACTCATCGCTGAGCCTGGAACCCAAGGTTTCGGCGGTGACCAGGGGAGCATTTGCACAGTGAAAGCTTGTGCGCCAGCTGCGCCCGTACCTTGGGAAGTCTGACTTGGCCACGGTAGTCCACGCTCTGGTTACATCCCGTTTAGACTACTGCAACGCTCTCTACGTGGAGTTGCCTTTGAAGACGGCTCGGAAGCTCCAGCTGGTCCAACGTGCGGCAGCCATGATACTAACAGGAGCGGGACGCAGGGAGCATACAACCCCCCTGCTGTACCAGCTCCACCGGCTGCCAATCTGCTACCGGGCTCAATTCAAGGTGCTGGCGTTGGCCTATAAAGCCCTAAACAGTTCCGGCCCAAGATACCTATCCGACTGCATCTCGACCTACGAGCCCACCAGGACTTTGAGATCTTCCGGGGAGGCCCTGCTCTCGATCCCACCTGCTTCACAAGCACGGCTGGTGGGGACGAGAGATAGGACCTTCTCGGTGGTGGCTCCTCGGCTGTGAAACACCCTTCCCGTGGACATTAGACTGGCTCCTTCCCTGATGATGTTCCACAGGAAATTAAAGACTTGGTTGTTTAAGAAGGCGTTTGAACAAGAAGTGCAATGATTGGTAATTTGACCATAGGACTGGAACAACGGAAAGTGATACTGGATTGTGGTTTTGACAATGAGACGATGTGGAATGGCTTTTGTAGTAATGATGATGTTTTGATGAGGATGTTTTCGATAATGATGAATTGTGGATATTTGTATTTTGCACCTTGTTTTTCTATGTTGTACACCGCAGTGAGTCGCCCCTGGGCTGAGAACTGCGGTATATAAGCAAAGTAATAAATAAATAAATAAATATCAGATTGGCCCCCTCCCTGCTGGCGTTTCAGAGGAAAGTGAAGACCTGGCTATTCGAACAAGCATTTGATTAAACAGTGTAATTGAACATAGGAATACGGAGTAATGGATGACGAGACTGGATTCTGATTTTACTGTTGAGGTGCTAATGATTATTATACGGATATTTAATGATTTATGTGATAATTGTTTTTAATTGCCCTATACTAGTCTCGTGATATTTTGTACTGATGTTGTTCACCACTTTGAGTCGCCTGAGGGCTGAGAAAAGCGGTATAGAAATAAAGTAAACAAATAAATAAAATGTTCTGTTCCTGGTTTGGAAGTGTTGTAGGAGAAAACAGGCATGGACAAACTTCGACCCTCGAGGTGTTTTGGACTTCAACTCCCACAATTCCTGACAGCCTACCGGCTGTTAGGAATTGTGGGAGTTGGAGTCCAAAACACCTGGAGGGCCCAAGTTTGCCCATACCTCAATTCCTCTCTCTCTCTCTCTTTCTCATTCCCACCAGCCATACCTGAGATAGGGGTGGGACCGAGATCAGGGACTCCTTTGCTGACCGCAGTGCCCATTGGTCAAGTAGCCAGATGCGATTGGTCAAGTAGCCTGGACCCGAGCTATTTAGGCCTTCCCCACCCCCTTTAAATTGTTTATTTATTTATTCAAATAAACATACAGAGAGTGTTGCGATTCCCTGTGTCGGGTACCCTAACAAATTTGTGAACATCCTGTGGCTCCTCCATGATGACAAGCCACACCAAACAACAGCCAAGCCATCAAATACTAATCAAGGTGGTTGGTTTAAACTTTCTCAGGTGTCAAACAGGGATGTGTTATTGCCCCAACCTTATTTTCCATCTTCATTGCTATGATACTTCACCTTGTTGATGGGAAGCTTCCCACCGGAGTGGAAATCATCTATCGGACAGATGGCAAGCTGTTTACCCTCAGCAGACTGAAAGCCAAAACCAAGGTTACAACAACATCTGTTATAGAACTCCAGTATGCTGATGACAATGTCGTCTGTGTGCATTCAGAAGAAGACCACTCAAAACACCTTCGCAGAAGCATACGAGAAGCTCAGCCTGTCATTGAACATCAAGAAAACCAAAGTGCTCTTCCAGCAGTCACCAGACAACCCCTCTCCAATGCCAGAAATACAGCTGAATGGTGTAACATTAGAAAATGTTGACTATTTCCACTCCCTTGGCAGCCACCTCTCCACCAAACTCAACATTGACACTGAAATACAATACCACCTGAGCTCTGTGAGTGCAGCATTTTTCCGAATGAAGCAGAGAGTGTTTGAGGACCGGGACGTCTGAAGGGAGACCAAGATGCTTGTTTATAAAGCCATTGTCCTCCCAACCCTGCTATATGTCTGCAAAGCGTGAACTGTCTACAGACGTCACATGCAACTCCTGGAACGATTCCATCAGCGCTGCCTCCAGAAAATCCTGCAAATCTCTTGGGAAGACAAGCGGACAAATGTCAGCATGCTGGAAGAAGTAAAGACCACCAGCACTGAAGCGATGTTCCTCCGCCATCAACTCCGCTGGACCGGACACGTTGTCCAAATGCCAGATCACCGTCTCCCAAAGCAATTGCTCTACTCCGAACTCAAGAACAGAAAACAGAATGTTGATGGGCAGGAAAAGAGATTGAAAGATGGGCTCAAAGCCAACCTTAAAAACTCTGGCATAGACACTGAGAACTGGGAAGCCCTGGCCCATGAGCGCTCCAGCTGGAGGTCAGCTGTGACCAGCAGTGCTGTAGAATTTGAAGAGGCACAAAATGTGCCAAGAAGGCATGTCAAACCAACCCTGACCGGGTCCGCCTTCTGCCTGGAAACCAATGCCCACACTGCGGGAGAACATGCAGGTCAAGAATAGGGCTCCATAGTCACCTACGGACCCACTGCCAGGACACCGAACTTGGAGGACAATCTTCCTCGGACAACGAGGGATCGCCTAAGTAAATAAGTAAGCCCTTCCAAGACCTCAACTTCTGATTCCTTGACTCCAGTTTCCATTCTGATCAATGAATGAGCCAAGGGATAGAGCAGGCATGGGCAAACTTTGGCCCTCCAGGTGTTTTGGACTTCAACTCCCACAATTCCTAACAGCCGGTAGGCTGTTAGGAATTGTAGGAGTTGAAGTCCAAAACACCTGGAGGGCCAAAGCTTGCCCGTGCCTGGGATAGAGCATCTTGAGCTACAAATTTCAATGCCTTCATCCTATAATTCAATAATACAGATTAAACTATTATTTGCCTTAGTTGTCATCACACATCTGGGCCATCTTCAGAATGATCAACAATAACTTGTGTTTCACGCACCCTATTCCTTTACATTTGTTTCTTGTTGCCTAAATGTAGAATTCTGCATTATATTAACTTGTCCAGATCATTTTAAATCTATCTACTGTCAACCTGTGGGATTTTAAAATAAAAATAACACGTTGGGAGTTTTTCCGGCTGATAAGAAAAGAGGTAGGAAAAAATATTTTGCAATAGTTGGCAGTTTGAATCATGTTTTTAATAGCTGTATTGCATCTATTGTGAGATTTCTCTCTCTCAAAGGATGACTTCATTCTTACGAAGCAGACACGGTTTCTAGGAATTCCAATTTGGCATTGTTTGCCGGAGGACGTAATTCTGCTACAGTGGACCTGGAAGGAATCAACCTAATTTATGTGAGGCCTGGCTAAGAAAGCATACAGAATGAATGAAAGTGCTAAGGACCTTAATGGGAAATGTATTTAATTGTGATCAATGACTTTTATGGGACTTTTGGAATGAGACCAAGGAAACTGCATCTGACGCTATACAAATAAACATTTCGGCTCTCCTCCTGCATTTTGTTTGTTGTGTGCATTTTCCCCACTGCTTCTGCATCTCAGAGCACACAATGTATCTCGCATATCTCATATACTGTATATACTCAAGTATAAGCCTAGTTTTTCAGCCCTTTTTTAAGGCTGAAAAAGTCCCCCTCGGCTTATATTCGAGTCAAGGTTATTTATTATTTTACTCTATTATTATTATTATTATTATTATTATTATTATTATTATTATTATTTCATTTATTATTTTATTCTATTTATTATTCTATTCATCATTTTACTCTATTATTATACATTTATTATTTTACTGTATAATTGTTGTTACTGCAACATTCATTATTTTACTCTTTTATTATTATTGTTATTATTGCATTTGTTATGTTGCTCTCATTATTATTGGAAGGATACATAAGCATATTTACATTGAAGAAGGTAAATAATAATTTAATCAGAGTTGGACAGTCTTATCTTACATTACCATTTTGTAAATATTAAAAAATATATAACCTACTGATTCCTCAATTAATGTAATTTAATTAGTATCTATTTTTATTTTGCAATTTGCCAGTAGCTGCTGCATTTCCCACTCTCGGCTTATACTCGAGTCAATCCGTTTTCTCAGTTTTTTGTGGTAAAATTAGGTCCCTCAGCTTATATCCGGGTCGGCTTATACTTGAGTATATATGGTAACAGCCGCTTAAACTATACTTTATTTATTTATTTTATTTCCCTGTCTCTGTTTATTTCCCTGTCTCTCTACAAGATCTGCCTTACAAATAATTCTGTTCCTTTATCTCACTCTGAGTTTTTAAATCATTTTATGTACATGCGGCCCGCTCACTGTTATCTTTGGTTGACTCCTTTTTTTTCTTTATGTTTTGTGTATATTGTTTATATGCAACGGGATTGTGGCGCAGCTGGCTGAGTGTCAGCTGCATTAAGATCACTTTGACCAAAAGGTCATGAGTTCGAAGCCAGC